GAAGAGCTACATAGACCTGTCTCCATAAAAGACATACAGATGCCCAACAAGCACATAAAAAAAAATTATCATCACTTAGGGTCAGGGAAATGCAAATCAAAACCACAATGACATTCCACTTCACACCTCTGAGAATATTCCATATCAAAAAAAAAAAAAAAAAAAACAGGAACACATGTGCTGCTGAAGATGTGACGAAAAAGAAACCCTCTTAGAATGCTGATGAGAATGCAGACTGCTCCAGATCCTATGGAAAACAACAAACCCTAGAAAGCTCACTGCAGAATGTGGTTACCAGATGGGGTGGGGGAGGGGATGGACAAGAACAAAGTGGGGAGAGAGCACAGTGGACTATGTATTGGTGGCAGGTGCAAGATGGCAACAACATCTAAACTGGGAGATCCTATATATTTTTTTTATTTATTTTTTTTTTATTTTACACATTTTTTTTTAATAATAAATTTTATTTTTATATTCCCCATACAATTGCAGCCCCCCCATTCTGACCCCAATCCTCCCTCCCACCCCCGCCCCCTTAAAAGTGTCTCTGGTTCGTAGTTTTTTGTTGATTTGATTTTCACTTTCTTATAGTTATTCGTTTTCCTGGTCCCTTATTTAAGTTTTTTAGATTCCTGCTATGAGTGAGACCATCCGCGGATCCTATATATTTTTTAAAGATTATTTATTTATTATACAAGCACTGGGTACGGTCAGAAGCACGGGAGGGTGAGAGAATTCACCAGAGCCAGAGCGGGGAGCAGAGCAGGCAGAAGGACCGAAATACACTGCTGAGGGGAGCAGCAGGCGGCAGGAGAGGTCTGCATGCCATGTGGACCCTCCTCCGGTGGCCGTGGAGCAGCCGGGGATGAACCGGCGCTGCAGAGGCTGCAGGCAGCTTCACAACCCAGCGCTCAACCACTGTGCCACCGGGGAGGCCCCAGATCCTATACTTTTAAAACACAAACAACATTGTAAACAATGTTACCTCATTAAAATGTTAAATAAAATAAAATGAGATGTTTCGCTGGAGTGGGTAAGTTGCTTCATGCCCCTTAGGGAGGGGGAACCACTCAATGCCCACCGGTAACCCATTGCTCTGCTGCAAAATGGACCTGTTGGAATGCACTATATCTGGAATAAACATGCACCATTGAAAGAGGGGATAAAGTGGAGGTCCAGGTCTGTCAGATTCCACGCTAGTCCATCTCTTCATACCTGAGAGTACTGTCTTCCCCAGCCAACACATGTGGTATGTACAACCAAGTCAAATTCCCAAATCTGCCAACCTCCCTCTTTCCTCAAGGCCAGGTGGACATGTTCTATTTTCACTAGCATGGTCAGCTGACTGTCTGATTTTCCCCCTCTCCATTGGCCTGGAAGACAAAGTACATACAGAACCCCTTATTATATTCACTCAGGAAGTCTTAAATGATGTGCAACATGATGTGTTCTTATTAAACACTGAAATATCTCTAATAAGAAAAGCTGTCCTCCAAAATAGAATGACCTTACACATTACAACTACCTGGCAAGTAGGTGTCTATGCCATTGTCCAAACAGAATGTTTTATGTTTATACATGATGAATTTACTATAGATGTATGAAACACGTAAGAACACAAGTGTGACCCTGTGTGATCTGACTCCAGTCTACAGGACTTAATAAATCAAGGGTTTGGTCTTGTGGCTCTGAGTAGGAAAAGTCAAAGATTTTGGGAATCACTATTTTAACCTGTGTTTCCTACAGGTGCCTATATTGTTGCTGTGGCATCTGTCTCCAATACAGCCAGAAAGTTACCAAATTAGCTAATAAAACTCACTGCTGATAGTTCAAAGCACACTGCAGAAAAGGGATATGTGAAATTATAAGGGCCATGAGGAATGGAATGTTTGGAGGGTAATCAAAATAACGTGATTGCCTGTTGGCCTGGAAGTTGGATGCAGGAAATTAGGTGTCTCCACACCACAACCACCTACCTGAGAAAGTACATTCCACTTGCCTTCTTCCCTGCTGCCAGAAGCTGCCCAAAGACACATCCTGGAGATAAAATTTGTTGCTAAGACCATCTGGATAGGGCCTCCCCAGTGGCGCAGCGGTTGAACGCTGGGTTGCAAAGCTGCCCGCAGCCTCTGCAGCACCAGTCGATCCCGGCTGCTCCCCGGCCACTCCCTGGCCACCAGAGGAGGGTCCCACATGGCGCGCAGACCTCTCCTGCCACCCGCTGCTCCCCTCAGCAGTGTACTTCAGTCCTTCTGCCTGCTCTGCTCCCTGCTCTGGCTCTGGTGAATTCTCTCACCCTCCCGCACTTCTGACTGTACCCAGTGCTTGTATAAATAAATAAATAAAATAAAATAAAATAAATCTTTAAAAAAAAAAAAAAAGACCATCTGGATAGTGCATGTGATTAAACCCATGTATAGCCCTGGGCCTCCCTGGTGGGGCGAGGGGTTAAGCTTGCAGGTATGAAGCTATCCGCAACTACTGCAGCACAAGTTCGATCCCCGGTCAGGGAGGTGACCCACATGGTACAGCAGACCTCTCCTGTCTCGCCCACTGCTGCCCTCAGCAGTGTATTTCAGTAGATCTACCTGTTCTGCTCCCCACTCTGTCTGGTGAATCCTCTCACACCTCTGGCCTGTACCCCAGTTCTTGTATGCATAAATAATCTTTAAAAATACATATATAGCCTCATTAAAATTTTAATATTTGTGGGACAAGGGTAGAAAACTCTCTTGTGTTGCAGCATCCCAAGAAAAAGCCTCTGTGTAAGTTCTCTTAGTGATTAAAAATGCCACCTACCAATATGGAAATATCTCTTTTTCTTCAATCTCTCTTTACCTTCTGTGTATGGTCAGCCTCAGATTACATCTGGGTTGTATCCCAGCAACCTAAAAGGTATGTTAGTTATGCCTCAATTTTTTAAATCTATGATTAGCATAAACTTAATAAAAAAATACTCAGCAGACAGATAACACATAACTATGTTTAATTATCTTAAAGCTCTATAGCCACATTAATGGATTGAATGTATTCCCTGTGGAGGGGAACTGGAAACAGAAAAACTTGCAACTGAGGAGATGCTGCTGGCAGCACACAGACAGGCTCCCGGGTCAGTGCTAAAAGCAACATCATAGCTGTATAACTTGGGGTAGGAGTTATAGGAGGTGACATGGTGACTGAGTCAGAGTCCTGTAGGACTCTAATCTCAGAGGGACAGACTAAAAGGAGTCTGAGAATTCTGGGTAAGGACAGGCAGGCATTACAGAAGAGCAAAAATCAATCCCCATCAAAGTATCCTCAGGAGTCAGTGCAAGAGCCCTGTAGGAGAGAGACAGAGATCAGCTCAGGGGACCCAGCAGGACATACATCTCACCTTCCCTTGTGGCTACCACAGCATCAGAGAAAGCTGAGCTCAGGTCTATTGTCATCACAGCCACTAATATCTGTATAGAGGAAAAATCAGCCAAACAGGACAGAGCACTTCAGCCCTGTGTAGATGTGCGTGAGGTGGGGAAGCAGCTGTTAGCCCCTTCATGAGACAAAGGTTTCAAACATTCTAGTAAATGTAATAACTCACCTTCTTTCCATCACTAGTGGAAATTCACTATAAATTCACACAGCAAGTAGCCACCAACATAGGGCTCATGATAGTGGGCTTGACACCCAAGATGTGGCTCTGACTCCAAGTTTCACAGAAAGATGCTACCAACATCATAGCCTGGCTCTGAGGAGCAACCTTAGGAGCATCCTTCAGAAACTGGGCAAATTCTCCCCTAACTCTTGATGCTGTAGCAGGAATTAGGCTATAAGCCAAGAGCTTTGTGCTCAGTTACACTCACCTCACACCCTATCTTCTTTCACCCATTCCCAAACTCCCCCCACCCCAATTAAGTCAGAGCAGAAACAGTACCTGCTGGCGAAGGCCCATGAGGTCCTACAAAAGAAATTTATAGAGAGGAAAGTCTCATTACTCATTACACAGGCAGCCCCTCACTCACCCCAAAGGGAAATTAAATAAGCCACTTAAAAATGTATTTCCTCCCTACTCATCAACCACAAGGCTTTAACTGCCTGAAGGTAAATCACTCAAAAGAAATGAAACTGGCATGTAAAAGAAAGGAAGCCAATGCCTAGACTCTCTTAAAGGAGGAAACTTTCAGAAAGGAACCAGTGAGACAAGGTTGAACAGTAAGAAAGCCCTAGAATATACTACCCCTGTTACATCTGTGGTCGGGCTACCCTTCAGCCACTAAAATCTTATTCCAAAGTCTCCCCCTAAGTTCCATCTCCTCCCATCACCAGCCCAGGCCCCTTTCTTTTCAGCATCAAGAAGAAAGAACTACAACTAAAGACAGAAGCCTCCCTGAGCAAAGGGTCAGGCCCAGCTCATCTTCCCAACTTCCTCAGAGTTACCTTTGAGGTAAGTTCCTCAACTTACCTTTCTGGTTCTTGTGATGGATAAAAAGGCCCAGCCCGAGGAAGATCAGCCCCAGCACGAAGCCCCCAACGCCACTCAGCATCTTGCTCTGGGCAGAGTCAGACTGTGCCCCTGGGGATCAGAACCTGAATGTTAGCTTTTGCCCCCATCCACGGTGTCCCAATAAGAAGTCTGAAGTCCAGGTACAGCAGGCAGGGATAACAGGGGAACATAGACCTCCTTTCTGACCAACCCTAGGGTGGGAAAGGACCTGCCAATAAATCCTTGGATATAGTGGGTAGATGAGCAAGGGGAGGGACACATCCATCACCTTAACCCTAGCATCCCAGTCACCAGCCAAAATAGTCACTCAGGGCTGGTTTCTGGGGTTATGATATGTAGTGATCCCTAGAGTGATATGTAGTGATCCCTAGATACTAGAGTGATCCCTCTAGTATCTGGAAAGAAAATGAGATTAGGATTCTTCTGACACCCCCACCAAAAGAGAAGTGATCTAGTCTCTAGATTTCTAGCTCAGTATTAACATCAGGAATAAGGGATTAGAAGGATGAACTAATCCTTTTGATTTGTGGGACCCAAGGAAAAAGTAAACAAAGCGCCCCTTACTCCAGTCCACAGTGATGGGGCTCTGGAGGCTGGGGTGTTCCACATGGCAGGTGTAGACATCTCCACGCTGGGGGGTCATTTCCAGCATCACAAGCATCTGGAAGGTCCAGTCCCCATTCCTAATGAGGGGGGTGGACACGACACCAGCTGTCTCCTCCTGGTCATTCCGGAACCACCGAACTTTGACCTGGCCGGGGTAGAAATCTGTCACCGAGCAGACGAGCAGGTTGTGGTGGTTTAGAGCCTCTGTCCTGGACAGGGAGATGGTCACTGTAGGTTTCACTGAGGAGAGCAATAGAGAGAAGACATAGTAAGATGTCTTCCCAAGGGGAAGAGTCCTTCATTGGGTTCAAAGTTCTCGGATCCCTAGATTCCAAGTCCTAGATTAGGATCTGAGTTTGACCACTTTATTTGCTTAAATAAACACATTAATCAGTTTACTTGTCAGTCTTAAGAGATAACAATCATTCTACTGGAGTTACTCTATTGATACTAATTGATAGACATTTCAACACTCACTTAAGCTCTTTAAAATTATAAACAGCTATATTATGGAATTTTAAAATTTTTTAAATTTTATAATTTTTTTTAATAGAGGCATGTTTTATTTATTTGTTTGTTTGTTTGTTTGTTTGGTTTATACATGCACTGGGTACAGTCAGAAGCGCGGGAGGGTGAGAGAATTCACCAGAGCCAGAGCAGGGAGCAGAGCAGGCAGAAGGACCGAAGTACAGTGCTGAGGGGAGCAGCGGGCGGCAGGAGAGGTCTGCGCGCATGTGGGACCCTCCTCTGGTGGCCGGGGAGCAGCTGGGGATCGAACCAGCGCCGCAGAGGCCGTGGGCAGCTTCGTAACCCAGCGCTCAACCGCTGCGCCACCGGGGAGGCCCAAATTTTATAAAATTTTAAAAAATAAAAATAACAAACCTGAACTTCTTTCCCCCACACCTAAGGAAGGTGACCCTCAGGAGTGGCCCTAATTACTCACACTAGGACAGTGACGCTGCTTTCTGTTAGTCCTACTCTCCTTGGTAGAAGAAATCCAGCCTCTCTAACTCTCCTGCTGGCCACGCGATCATCAACACTCATCATGGCCTCAGGAATATATCAGACTGAGAATTAAGAATTACAGACATTCTATGTCCAACAAAGTAGGATGCACTGGCCATCTCATCCTTCCTACAAAGCAATGTTTCTCAAACACGCAATATTCTATAATCCTGAGCCTGTAATCTAAATAAAATTTGAGAGTAAGAGCATGTCTTAAAATAGGTATTTAACAAAACATCTATCTCACCTTTTAACCAAACCTAAGCTTAGATGTCCTTTTATGATGACCCTCCTCACAAAAATTTATATTAAATACATAAACTTCCACCTCCACATCAATGCCACCTATATTCAATTCATTTGTTGATTCATTTGTTCATCCAGACAACAAACATAAATTTCATAAGCATTGGAAATTTAGAAGTAACCAACAGACCAAGGTCCCTGCCTTTACAGAACTTGCAATCTAGTAACAGAGACAAAAAAAAAATGTTATTTCAAAATGTTTGAAGGAAAAGGGAATCTTGAAGAAAAATAAATGTCTGCCCATGCCTCTGTTCCTGTATCATCTCAGATTGCTGCTCATGGTCAAATACAACCCACCTTTCCTTACCTACTTTACATATCTGATCCTTTATTTCTATAGCCATATTACTGCACCTTCTATATTCCCTTCATGTGAAACTATATTAATAATTCACATCATTTTATTTATTTGATGGTACATTACCTTGTCTCATTTTTCTCTTTTTCCCCTAATATTATTTTAACATTCAAGTGAATTTAATTACTAGCTGCTTATCCTACTCCATCCCCTTGCTGTTAATGAAGAACTTCCTAGTTCTGAATTCAGACACTATTATCATGAACATTCTCCATAAAAAAATACTATGAGGTTCTTACAATCTGGATTAATAAAAATGTAATGTTAACATAAAAGTATAACTGGATCCTGCTGAGCTCAGCAGGCTATCTGGCTCTCAATTAAATTACACTTGTGAGTCATCATCAGGTTCTCCTTGCTGAGATCTCACTGGCATCATGGCCAAATATATGGACTTACAAAAATTTGTTCAACTTAAACAGATTAGGAGTAAAAATAAAGAGCTTGAGTTCTTGAGAAAAAAATGTTAGAATAATTTTTATTTAAAAAGAACAGGAATAGTAAAAACAGAAGTTTTCAGTGCTCTTAGAATGTGGATAAGAGACATCAAGAAAGTGTAAAGTCACCTAAAATTTATGTGACTATGTAGAAGTAACATTGGGTAATTAGAGATTGATTAATCGTGAAATTTCAATGACCGAAAAGTACCATTTTGTACACCCACATTGAAAATAAGCAGTAATAGACTTAATTGTTGATTTTGATCATCACTAGCCATAAGGAGGCTTTGCTTCCATTTGCTTCCATTCCATTCCATTCTATATACATGTACTAAAGAACATGATGACTGTCGTGTACTTTGATGGAGGCTTTAGAACCTGGCGAATAACTGTGAGCTAGTTACTTAAAATGTTTATTATGTACCAATATCAGCACATATAGAGTGGTGATGCTAATCCCTAACACTCAAGGTAGTCGTGAAATTAAATGGCATAACTTCGAAGCTGCTTCATAAGTAATTGTCTGGAAATAGGTGTTCATTAACGACTAACATTAACTTTTGAAATGTCTGCCCCTGAAGTGGATGATGATGCCAGGAGAAAGAGAGACAGGGAGAGAGGAGGCAGGGTTTAGACCAAAGATAACCTGAAACAATTTTTACTCAATGATTTCACAGCATCAATTTATTTACTCCAAAATTTCAGCTCTTCTTAATGTGCCACTTGTTAAGCTTTAATAAGAAATAAAAACTCTGGGCCTCCCCGGTGGCGCAGCGGTTGAGCGATGGGTTGTGGAGCTGCCCGCAGCCTCTGCAGCGCCAGTTCGATCCCCCGGTTGCTCCTGGGCCACCAGAGGAGGGTCCCACATGGCACGACATAACTCTCCTGCCTCCCTCTGCTCCCCCTAGCAGTGTGCTTTGGTCCTTCTGCCTGCTCTGCTCTCCCCTCTGGCTCTGGTGAATTCTCTCACCCGCCCCGTGCTTCTGACTGTACCCAGTGCTTGTATAAATAAATAAATCTTTAAAAAAAAGAAAAAGAAAAAACTCTACAACTACTTTTTCCCATATTTTGCATTCACAAATTCTAAATTACTAAAAGCCCAGTCACTAAGAGTTTGCTTTAAAGCATTAAGCAAAAATCAAGACTACATGGTATATATATATATTATATATACACAATGGAACACTACTCAGTGATTAAAGAAAAAAAAAAGATAAACTCACAGCATTTGCAGCAACATGGACAGAACTGCAAAGGATTATGCTAAGCAAAGTAAGACAGAAGGAAAAAGACAAATATTGAATAGTTTCACTTATACAGGTTGACTAGATCTGAGGCAGGCAGCAGGGGAGGATCACGGAGGGGGTCAAAACAAGGGAGGAAAGAGCACAGGGACTATGGTGATGGATCATGGGTGCTGAGGTGGTGAGAGAACTATTGGGACTACAGTCAAGGGGAGAAATCAAATACTGTCCAAAAATTAACAATGATATAAGAAAATTAATTTTTAAAAAAAGTAAATCTCAACACAGAGAGAAAAATATTTTTAAAATAAAGCATTAAGCAAAACAATGATATACAATGATAATGATAAAATTAACAATGATATAAGAGAATTAATTTTTTAAAAAAAGTAAATCTCAACACAGAGAGAAAAATATTTTTAAAATAAAGCATTAAGCAAAACAGTAAAGAATAATTTAATAAAGTCAGTTTTTATGGTTTTGTTTACCCTTCTGTTTTCTCTTGAGCTTATGTGGATGGGCAGTGAGTACCTGTAATCACTTAAATGCACAAAGGTTTGAGCTCATGCTAAGTGCCAGGCAGTGTGTCAGGTATTGGGCATACAAGCTCCTCTCCTCAAAGACGTCAAAGACTAGTGATAAACATTTAAGAAAACAGAAATGAAATGGATAATAATTTGAAAGCAAAAAGTCAAACTATAGGGTGTCGCTCATACATGACCACGTGAGCAAGGTGCCCCGTGCAGTCGGAGGCTGCCCTAACCGCAACCCTCCCCGGCCCCAACCTTCAAGGGTCTCAGAAGCTTGACCCCCAAAGGCGGATTACGCAGTGGGAGCTCCCCAGACAAGCTGGCAGGCAGGAGTTGGGAGGGGTGGGGAGAGGAAGACAGTGGGGGCACAGGGCACCGCTTAGTGAAAGGTGAGTACGTGGAGGACACAGGCCTGAGGCACCGGGAGGGTGTGCGGAGCTAGAGGAAAGAGCTGTAGAAGTGGGGCCTCACCCGCAAGCCTGTCCGCCCCCGCCACCAACTCTTTCGGTGGCGACGCCCCTCCCGCCGCCCCGCCCGGGCCCCGCCTCCCCGCCGGAGCCCCGGCCTCCAGCGCGCTGTGGGCGCCGGCAGGGACCCCGAGGCCGCGCTCCCCGCCCGCCCGCGCCGAGCTCCTCCCCCGAGAGTCGCCCGCGAGGGCGAGCCCGGCGCTCACCTGCCCGCTGCCAGGTGAAGGCGGCGTCCACCTCGTAGTTGTGTCTGCACACCGTCTCCACCTCGGCCCGCTTCTGCTCCAGGTAGTCCTTCTGTGTGTTCAAGTACTCGACGATCGGCCGCCCCCACGCGGCGACCGCGATGTGCTCCCCCACGTCGCTGTCGAAGCGCGCGAACTCCTCCCGGTTGTAGATGTAGCTGAACACAAGCCGCACCCGCCGCGTCCCGTCGGTGTAGTAGCACAGGGCCTTGTCCTGGAACACGGAATTCTCTGCGGGAACCACACCCGCGGCTCAGCCCGACTCAGCCCCCCAACCGCCGCCGCCGCCGCCGCCGCCCTTCCCAGGCCGCGCTGTTGGCAGAGACCCCTGAAAACCTGCTCCCCCCAGACTCTCCTCCCAACCCTGTGGGGCCTCTGGCTCGGAACCTGCCGCGGGCTCTGAACCGGGTCCGCAGGCGGCGCTTCCCCAACCCCGCCGCCCGCGCTGCTCGGGGCTCCCCCTCTGAGGGGAAGATGGAGGACAGTGTCTCTAAGGCCAGGCCGGGGGTGAGAGACCCGAGCCAGACAACTGAGTACAGGTGGCGGTCGGGTTCGTTTTACGTCGATCCCCGTATTTAGTGGAATCAGAAAATTCTCACATGAAATCTCATTTTCCGCAGAGCTCCAGGGAATCTCGGGACAAACAAGCGTCCAAGAAGCAGGAGACTTCAGGGGAAATGATGAGAAGGTCTAGAGTTAAGTGCTCGTCCTCACCCTCGCGAGCAGATTCTCAGTGTCTGGCCGGGCGCCCTCCTCCCCTGCCCGAGCCCGCTCACGTCACGATTTGACCGAAACCAGTGAAAATGCAAGCTGAGCCGCCCTGTCTGTGGCCACCCAGCCGGCTGCGCTCAGACACTGAACTTGCACAGACTCGGGAATGCAGAGTCCCCTTCCTCCAATACCCAGACGTCAGAGAGCCCTGCATTTCCCTACCCCAGAGCCCCACAGTATTTAGTCCAGACAGGTCTGGGGGTGGGGGAGCAAATAACAAATCCTGCTACGTCTTCTCTGGAGAAATTCTTATCTTCAAAAACCACTACCATTGATAAGCCATGCTCCTCGCCCTGCACAGGCAGGAGAGCAGCTTGTCTCCCTCATGGTGTGACAGCAGGCTTGAGCCCAAGGGCTGGGGAGTGTCCCCCACTCTCTCATTAAAAGGCAGAAATGAGAATTTACACAGCTCTTTCCCAAAGAGAGGAAATGCGTGATTTTAAAAAGAAAAAGTGTTCTGAAATCAGAGAACCCCCCACACTCAGCCCAAGGGTCCCTCAGAGTCTGTTCTGGGGGGCAGGCACCCTGCACTTACTTGGAGACTCTCTGCCCTCAGTCCCTGGGGCGCTCAGCGCCACCAGCATCACCACCACGCCTGCTGCCCACAGGCTGCCGGGGATCCTCAGAGCTGTCTTCCCTGACATGATTAGGAACCAAGGAGCAAGTATGGGTAGTCAGCACAGCTCGCAGCTGGTGGCTATGATGGACCCCTTCAGCGACTAAAACCCTGGGAACCTCCAGCACAGCAGGATTGGAGAGGCCACGGAGAAGGAACCAATCAGCACTGGCGCTGCAGCACCTCATCTGTCTCTGGGCAGACTCTTTTTCTGAAGGTTCTCAATCTAATGCCTGGCACTGTGTCTTCATCAATTTGTACCTTTTGAGGTAAAATGTTGCTCTCAGTTATCCCAGATCTAAAAATTGAATGCCTTGGAGTTTAAAGAACCTAAAAGGAACGGTGATTGTAGAGTACACATCTTTGTGTTATTTATTTGAAACCTATTTTTTTTTTTGGTAGGGAAAAAAAGAGGGGAATCGTACTTCAGGGTAAAGGAAAGTTATTGTTGGGAAAGTGTACACACTGAGGAACCTTCAGTTGTGGTGGGAAGAGAATCACTAATGTGCTTTATGTCAGCAAACGACAGAATCTCTTTTGCCTGACACTTCTCTTTGTAAAATGTGTTTTATATCTGGAGATTTGTATATAAACTTAGGAGCAGTATGATTTGTTTACTATTGCAAAATGTTCCTTAACTGTCATGTGTAACTGTTGGAATAACAGATTATTCCAAGAAAACAAGCAAAAAGAAAAAAGAAAAAAGACAGCTAGCCCTGCTGGTGAGTGACTCTTCACTATGTAAGAATCTATTTCATTCATGCTCTTTGTGTAAAAGTATTAGAAAAGGTAATGAATTTAGTGTTTCTCTTATAAGCTCTCCAACTGTTTAAATCCTCCCTGAACCGTGAAGGTTCTTCTATATCAGAGAAGGCACAATCCACAAACACTCCAGCATTCAAACAGTCACCTTTGATTTCAAGGACAGAGAGCAAAAGATGAGGAGAAGCATTTTCTAGGCCCTGAATATGGTTAATGAGGGAGCAGAGGCATAGGGTTACAGATTATACTGTACCTACAACATCAAGTATCAAAGAGAGGAAATATCCATTTTTTAAATAAAGTTGTTAACAAATACCTCTTCCCCAGGAGCAGTAGTAAATGGTTATAGAGCAATTAGAACAGTGATGGCAAACATAAATAAAAAGAACAATAAGTATCTTCCTCTTCCCCTCTTCTCTTCCCCTCTCTCTTCCCTGAATTTTAGGATCGCCTTTCAAAACAGAGAACAAAATATAAAAGCAGACCATAAGGAAGTTACCAGGTACAAAAAGAAATAGGATGTGGCAACAAGAAGCGCTCACTGGTGGCACGCAAAGGCACTGTGACTCCGACATTCTGGATTCGGGACACAGTCACAGAACACCTGACTGGAAAATTAGTCATGGGCTTCCACCAGCAGTGGTGTATCATGATCTGGGTAACCTAGAATGAGGTGGGTTTCCCTACATGAGATGGCAGTGTAAAGAGGGAACATCAAATAACCTGGGATAGAGTTTGGGGACAAGGAAAAATGGTCAGAGAGGGATATTGAAGGTGCCCTCCTTGCTTTAGCCCTACCTAACTCAGGGCTCTTCGGAATAGACAGAATTTTGGTCCCTCCCCTTCCTCCTTTGCTAGTGGGGAGACTCAGTAGCTCTGTTCCAAGACTGTGCGGTGGAGGCTGAGTCGAACACGGGGATTTCCCAGTCTCACAGGCCAGTTCACACAGACTTTTCAACTAGCAACAAAAGTGTGATCTTAGAATTCTTTTGCTGATTGGCTAACTCTCATGGAAAAGGCTCCAGTTTGGGCTTCTACCTTCTTGTTAACTTTTTACGGTAAGCATTCTGTCAAATGTCTAAAAACTCCATTTTGGTCACATACCTGAGTGTTCTATGCTCCTCACCCTTGTGATCAGGGGACCCCACCTGTGAGTTATGACACATCTGTGTGGTTTTGTTTCTGATAGTTTTGTCCCCCTTCCCAAAAACTCAACAGATCCCAGAGGTACTGTCATGTAACAATATTTTTCATACACCTGCAGAGTTAAGATCCTGGATTTCAAAGATGAAAATACATGGTTCTGTCCTCTAAGAATCAACAAGTACTTCAAATTAACAAATAGCATGTGTGTTAATTGTAGGTGTTCATATTTGTTGTATCTGTACTCAATAAAGTAAAATTGAACATGAAAAAATTTATTAATGAAAACATTGAATATTGACTTAACTATTAAATTAATGTTAACTATTAAAGCACTTTATACTCTGCCTGCATTCCCATTTCTTTTTTTTTTTTTAAGATTTATTTTTTTACTTATACCAGAGCTGGGGGTATAGGCCAGAGTCTCAGGAGGGTGAGAGGATTCAGCAGAGACAGAGATGGAAGCAGAACAGGCAGACTGACAGAAAGCACTGCTGAGGGGAGCAGCAGGCGAGGCAGGAAAGATCTGCCTTGCCATGTGGGTAGCTCCCTGGCCGGCTTAGAATCGAGCCAGCACTGCAGAGGCTGCAGACAGCTTCACAGCGCTGCACTCAACCTGCTGTGCCACCGGGGAGGCCCTGCATTCCCATTTCTGACTTGATCCAGCTTCCCAGTATCTCAGGGAGAGGACAGGTATTCTCATCTGATGCCCCAAATTTTTCAGCTACCACCCAAGGGTGGCCACGAGTTCAGGGGATAGTAGTAAAGAAACAAACAGTTCTTAATTGGCTGTCACTCCATGGTTCAACACTGAGAAAAAGACAGAAACACCCATTTACCTGTCTTCCTCTGAAAGAGGTGTATTTGTATATTTTAAAAATCTGCTGCCTGAGATTCTGAATTCCAATCATCATAAATCTAGGCTCTGATTGAAATCTTCCCCTTTGTGAGATTGACAGTTCTTGACACACCCTCAAATGCCAGAAGCCACACAAATATTCTGATTGGACCAGCAAAAGGACAACAACACAGGGAGCAAAAGAAAATGAAGAAACAGAAGATATGTTCCAAATGAAAGAACAAGATTATAACTCAGAGAAAGATCTATGAGGCAGGGCCTCCCAGGTGGAGCAGTAGGTTGAGCTCAGCTCTGTGAAGTTATCTGCAGCCTTTGCAGCGTGGGTTCGATTCCAAGCCGGCCAGGGAGATACCCACAGGGCACAGCAGACCTCTCCTGTCTCGCCTGCTGCTCCCCTCAGTGCTTTCAGTCTTTCTGCCTGTTCTGCTCCCAGCTCTGTCTCTGGTGAATCCTCTCACACTCCCACGACTCTGGCCTATACCCCAGTTCTTGGATAAATAAAAATCTTAAAAAAAAAAATCTATGAGAAAGGCAGGTTATTATTTTTTATTTGCAATTAATAATTTTATTTTTTTAATTTTTTACATCATTTTTCACTTTTAAACAATATTTGCTTCCCCCCACCCCCTCAAGTGAAGTCCCCATAGAGTTTCCTTTACCAATGCTCCTGTGCACCATCACCATAGGCCCCTGTGCTCCTCCCTCCCTCCCTCTGATCCCTCTCCCTCCTCCTCCCCTGCAGGATGTCTCTGATTTATAATTGTCTGTTTTTCCTTTGTTGTGTTTTGTACTGTTATTATTTTTTACACTAATGTCTTATTTGGTTCCCCTATATTCCTGCTATAAGTGAAACCATCCGATATTTTTCTTTTTCCTTCTGACTTATTTCACTGAGCATAATTCCTTCTAGCTTCATCCACGTTGCTATGAATGGCATGAGTTTATCTTTTTTGATCACTGAATAATAATCCATTGTGTATATATGCCACATCTTCTTGATGCAGTCATCTATTTTTAGGCATTTGGGTTGTTTCCAGTTTTTACCGATTGTGAAGAGTGCTGCAATAAATATAGGTGTACAGGTGTTCTTTTGAATCAATGTTTTTGTGTCCTTTGGGTAGATCCCTAGGAGTGGAATTGCTGGATTGTATGGTAGCTCCATTTTTAGTAGACTGAGGAACCTCCAGACAGCTTTCCATAGTGGTTGAACCATTTTGCACTCCCACCAGCAATGTAGGAGAGTTCCTTTTTCACCACATCCCCATCAACATTTGTTGTTTTTTTGATATGTGCCATTCTTACTGATGTAAGGTGGTATCTCAATGTGGTTTTGATTTGCATTTCCCTGATGATAAGGGATGCTGAACATTTTTTTTTTATGCCTGTTGTCTTTTTGCATTTCCTCTTTGGAGAAATGTCTTTTGAGTTCTTCTGCCCATTTCTTGACTGGATTGTTTATTTTGATTTTGTTGAGCCCTGTGAGTTCTTTGTATATCTTTGTGATTGGTCCCTTATCAGTTGACTGGAGTGCAAAGATTTTTTCCCAGTCAGTGGGGTGTCTCTCTGTTTTGATTGTCTCTTTTGCTGTGCAGAAGCTTTTCAGTTTGATATAATCCCAAGTGTTAATCTTTTCCTTTACTTTCTTTGCTTTGGGTGATGAGTCTTTAAAGATGTTATTGCAATGCATGACTTATAGTGTTTTCCCTATATTTTCTTCTATATATTTTATGGTTTCAGGTCTTATATCAAGTTCTTTTACACATTTTGAGTTGATTTTTGTGCATGGTGAAAGGTATGTCCTAGTTTCATTTTTTTGCATGTGGAGGTCCAGTTTTCCCAGCACCATTTATTGAACAAACTGTGTTCCATTGCATGTTCTTTGCTCCTTTGTGAAAGATCAGTTGTCCATATAAGTGTGGTTTTATTTCTGGGCTCTCTATTCGGATCCATTGGTCTGTGTGTCTGTTTTTGTTCCCAAACCAAACTGTTTTAATTATTATGGCTTTAGTATAGCTTGAAGTTTGGAAGTGTGATACCTCCTTTCTCCTTTGTTTTCTCAGTAGGGCTTTGGCTATTCATGTTTTTTTGTGGTTCCATATGAATTTCAACAGTATTTGTTCTATTTCTTTGAAGAAAGTCATTGAGATTTTTATTGGGATAGCATTGAATCTGTATATTGCTTTTGGTAGGATGGACATTTTAATAATGTTAATTCTTCCAATCCATGAACAGGCGATGTCTTTCCATTTCTTTGTGTCTTCTTCTATTTTTTAACAGTGTTTTATAATTTTCCTTGTATAGGTCTTTCACCTCTTTTGTTAGGTTTATTCCCAAG